GGGGGGGCAAGGGGGGGCGTTGCCCCCTCCTATACCCAGTCATTGTCCCCCCTAAAAATATTAGAAAGATGTTTAGGTAGTTACGTATTTTATTGCTTATAACATTTTCATCGGTAATAGAATAGATCAAAAAAGTTTTTTTAGCCGTATAGTAGTATTTATTTCGGAAATTCCGGGCCATGACGACGATACTGACGTGTCACGACGACTGTTGGCAAATTGATTGCTAACGTTATCGTAATCGTAGCTCAATACTTTCCTATCAATTGACATTTTACTATAGAACACCTAAATATTCTTTCATTTTATCGCCGACTGCAGCAGTATACGTGTGTAAAATATGTTTCATTGTTAATTTATTTTGTAATTCATTGTGTTAATTTAATTAGATGTCAATGTAAATAAATTAAAAATTGCATTAATATTTAATACATTTATATATAATGCCCCCCCAAAAATTTGCTTTGCCCCTCCTGAAAATTTGGTCTGGCTACGGGCCTGCTTTTGCATACCCTGAAAAAGAGGTCTGCGCATGCCTATGCGGTGGACGAACTTTTCTCTTCCCTAGTTCCGATTGTTGATCGATTGTTTTCCCTTGCGCTTTAAACACAAATCAGTCAACGTAACGAACAGCGACCGTGTTTAGCCCCCGGATATGTCAGAAAAATATACCATTCCGAGCGCGTACGCCGTCTGTGTTACTTGCAACAAACGCCTCGATCCTAAAAAGTGTAGGTGTATGAAAGTTTTCGTTGACAAAAAATATCGATTACTGTGGTAGACGGAGTCTCGTATAGCCTCATACATTCTTTACTCTATGTATAGCCTATTCAGATTAAGAGTGCCCAAACTCGCGCATGTCTACCGAGAAGCCGATAACGGTCGGACACCCGTCGATATCCAAACGCTCTATGATTCGTTGTTATTATTCGACCGTCGTCGTTGTTTATCGAAGTCGGTGACTGCCGCCTTGTATACAGATTATTATTAAAAAAAAACCTTGTAATTCAAAATAGAACTATAGCGTGGCGTTACGAAAAGAATGTGGTAATACAGTTCACTACGTATAACAGCGTTGTAACGCGTCGGCATACTAAAATGTTCCTGGTGAAAAAGACATATGCGCAGTAAAAACCAGTTTTCATCCAAGTGACTGGGCAATCTTATTCTGAATAGACTATAGGACTCTCAGTTCGAACGCTAATGCGGGGCCAAACGTAGAATTACACATCGCACCTTAAATTCAATGAACAGTATTACATCACGAACAATTGTTTGCGGAAGAAGGGGCCGGATCACTGAGTCCGTTTGTACCTCCGTTTTTATCGAAATTCGTGTACTTGTACGTTGTCCGACAAAGAAAAATGGTTTTCTAAATTTTAGTGCAATAACCCCATGCTGGTGCGGTTCTAGGGGGGGGGGTTCAGGGGTCAACTGACCCACAGTTAATATTTGTTGACAAAATTGGCCTCTAAGAAATTTATTTCTCTTTTTAAACCATGATTTGGACTCTTGGATAGTTGGCCCATCGGAGTTCTTTGAAAAAATGAATGCCATGTATATTCAAAATTTAAAATTTTTCAATTCATAATTTATATTTTAAATTATATCGTTTTAGTAGAAAGTTAAGTAAATCATATTTTATTGCGTACATTTGTTGCGCTGATAAAATTAGATTATATTTATTAATCGTAAATATGTCATTATCCGTGGTAACACTAATTCTAAAATTTAATATAAATATACTTATACATTTTTATGAGCATATTGTGTGTTTTAGTTTTACAAGGTATTCATTTCTAATTCAGTTTCATCCCTAATAAATGGCCTCTTGAAATGGCTTGACCCACAGTTCCCTGACTTTGGTTCCACCCCTGACCCCATCAGTGATAATTTCAATATTGAAATTGAAAACAATTTCAGCCATTTCTGCAGGTGTCATCATTTTACTATCGGTAGATTGTTTTTTAAGATTTTGTGCAACCATCATTTTTGCCTTTAAGCTTTCCATATCGATATTCTATAAATTCTATGCAAAAATAAATTAGCATTACCATTCTTTTTTCATTAATATTTAATTTAAAAACAATTAATTAACTAACTTTATAATGGTTTGTTAATGTAAGGTTTTTTGAATAGTCTAACATTAAAAAGTCATCCACACTATTAGCCAACTTCATACTTTCTTTTGAAAATCTCATATTAAGATTCTTTATTACAGTGTCCAAAATAATAAAATACTTGACACGATAGCATGTCATAATATCATTTGAGCTATGCTCTTCATTTTCACCTGTATTTACTTCAGTAGTATAATTACTTAGTTTATTTGGCTGTGTTCTTTTTCTCTTAGATCCTAATAAAATAAAAAGCCTTTTAATTTCAACTGATATTTTTAACAACTATAAAATATTTGCACATAATATATTATCATATATTATGAAGTTTATTATTTATTAATAATCTACCATTCATGGATATATCCAACAGTATGTGGTTTTTTGTACAAGATTTAGTTATTTGAGTCCAAATTGCTAAAAAATGTTCTTCACAGCGATTAGCTTCTAGGGTGGTAATAACAGAATCTATTTCTTGAGATACTTTACCCAACGTTACAGTCTTTTACTGGAGTTTGTTACTTAGTATATTAATTATAAGTAAAATCTCCTGTAAAACAAACAAATGCACAAGAAATGAAGTTTTTTCCATTGTGTACAGTGTTGCGGACATATATGAATGTAGGTCCTTACGACTCTTACAGTACGGGCGGGTCCACATAAATTATAAATATTAGGGATCGCAGAATGATTATGAGTAATATAATATTCGCAATAATAGAAAGGAACTATTAGTTTAAAACAGAGGGTAACGCAAACACATATTACGAAGACAGGTAATATGTAATAAATATTAAAAACATTATTATAATTAGGCATCAGTAAGACATGTGTAAAAAGCGGATTCGTTAAGTGCACGGAATATAGATAATGGCAAGCCAGACGACAGATGACAGGTGGTTGATATTGGTAGGTCCGAGTCACTAATGGATAATGCGCGAATAGTAATATTGACAAGGCCACTAAGGTAATCTGACATTTGGAAAACAACTTTCGCACAGCGTTGCACGGTTGATCTCCACGGGACCTAAGTATATAAGGGGGTTGGGAATAGACCAATATTCAGATGTGGTTTACATGTACAGTCGCAAGTACCTTCACGCCACATTATTTCTCAAATTAATGTTTTGTACTTAGAAAAATTATTAAATAAACAGTTTAAATTACAATTGAGTATTTTTATTGAAGTATAATCCTTAAAAACTTAACCATCATATACGATTGAGCGACGGCACGCAACAACAGGATTCCTAAAAAAATTAACTTTTAAAATATACTAAACAATGTAATTTTGTATTAAATGGAAATCTATGAGTACCTAAGTAATCTAACCTATAGCATTTGCAACATTTTTATCAGTATTTTTTTCTATTTCATATTTTAAAACTTTTATTATAGAAGAATAATGTTCCATCACCATTTTGCAGTTTTTGAACGGCAAGACCACCTTGTATCACTAATCGAACATAGTTTTGTTTTTTTAATTCCAAGTTTCTCTTGTATATCAACCAACATCATATTCTTTGATGGGATTGAAAAATGGATATACAATTCTTCTAACCCATTGAAAAGATTTTTAGCATCCTGAAGAATGAAAAACAATTTTTAGTGCTTGAAATTTAAATTAGTTTACATAGAGACATTACTACATTAGATATTAAAATATACACCAACATACCTTAATTGATTTATACTTATCAATTACCACTAAATTAGTTCTGTAGGCCATGCAGTGTATATAAATAGAAAAAGGGTTTTTGTCTTTAATTTTTTTTTTGTACTCCATTATGGTCACCTGACATAACAGTTGCTCTATCATAGCTTTGTGCTATGATGGGTACATTCAGAATGTTGTGTTTGTCAAGAAATGATAAAATAGCAGATAATAATGCTTTAGCGTTTTGACTTATTGATAAATCTACAAATCCAACAAACCTTTCAAAAATGTGTAGATTTTTGGAATACCTAACACATAAGGCTAATTGTTCTTCTTCAAAACACCTAAAAATAATTTTCACATATATATATAAATTATATGATACTTTACACATAGCTTAATTCAATATTTAACACAATTACGAGTAGGTGATTTATCTTGCTTCATCACATATTAACGCAAAATATCCGCTGTCTTTGATATCACTAATAATATTTAATAACAATATTAGAACAGTAGTTTATCAGTTCATTTTGAATATTCCAACTAAAATAATTTGTATGTTGCGATGCATACTGAATAGTAAATGTCGGGTTATATTTGGCCATAACATAACATAATTCCTTAAAATGTCCTAATTACCTAATTACCATTAGAAAGAAATTTATACACCTTGATTATTAGAATCTTTACTCTCTAGATGCCCACGATAAGCCAATCCTTGTCGGGCCAAAAATAGAATCAAGTCAATTAAAGTTTTGACATACTTTCGATTTTTTTCTTTTTGTTCTGAATGAGTAATTGATAGCACGGCATGCACTGAACCATTTTTTTTTTGCTCAAAATATAAGAGTTCCATTTTTCTCTGCTTATAAGGTGCTGTTTACAAGCAGCATGCAACTCAAGCTTTGATTTGGACCTCTTAGAAGATCCAGATCCAGTAGAACTACTTATCTAAACATATAATAACAAATAGTAACTAATAAGAAACTGGCAATTGCTAAAAAGGTCATTCCGATAAAAAATAAGGATCAACCAATCAAAAATATTATGAGAATTTCAAATTATTTTTATAGTACGTTAACATACTTTTTCTAATTGTTGAAACCTTTTCGAACAAAAGTATCTTCAACAGAGTGTGTAGAAAAATTGCGGCAAGCATAACAGAAAATTGCATCCTTTTCAATACTGTACTTTAAACAGTCAAAATATTCATACCAAACTGTTGAAAAAGCTCTATTTTGGTTCCCAAACTTGGTCTTTGGATATACCAATCATAAAAAAATTAACACAATAATTAATAAATAATAATCATACATCTACTTTCTACAGTTTAGAAATCCCAAATAAAAATGTAAAATAAAAAAATAGGATATTGTGTAATATTTTGTTTAACTCATATTATATATAACTTGTAATTTTGGACGAATTGGACGGGATTGTAAATCTCCCAGATCAGTTGGCATACAATCAACTTCTTTGTTTGGTTGCTATACAGTTAAAAATACAAACTATAATATTTGAATGTCTAAAAACTTATATTTAAGTTTAATTGAACCAAATCAGATTTTAAAATCTCTTGACTTTAGGTATGAACGTATGGTGACCAGATATAAATTATAATTCAAATATATATTTATATACATAGGCCGATAGAGCGATACTCAATAGCGTTATTCCGCTTATTTTATTCGGGGAACCCATTTTATTTTTAGCTTTGAAGAAAATTTTTTTTTTATTTATCTGCCTTTCAAAGTATTATTTTGTTTGCCAGTACTCAGTAAAGGTGCGGTGTCCAATGCGTGACCTGTCGCCGTGACCGGTCGTGTTCTACCGTTTATTTGCTTTTATCATTGACTAGTGTCCTACCCGTGACTGCAATGCACGACTGATAATTTGTCGTTTTAAGAAAAGAAGAATTCAATAGTGAAAATTGTGATGCAAGTTTGTGTTCACGTATAGAAAGGAGTTTCTCGACGATGAAAAGAGTAAAAACATATGTGAGGTCAACGATGACAGGTAGCAGACTAAATAATTTAATTTTGCTGTCTATTGCGAGAGAAATAAGTGGAAAACTCATAGAAAATCTATCTGCTGTAATTGACGAGTTTGCATCAATGACAAAGAGAAAATTGGAATTTTCAATTTATTAATATTTTAATAAAGCTATATCTTTTTTATTAATTTTATTTTACACTGTTAGTTTTAAAACATAAAATAAATCCATGTAATATGCCTATAATAAATGAGTAACATACGGTATTCTGATACTTTTTTATTTTATAAAAATATTCATTGGTAATCCTTACATCAAAATATTGGGCCTGCCCAGAAAAAAGTGTCTAGGTACGCCACTGCGAAAACTACGGCTGTCGGACACCATATTGACAGTAAAATGCCTCAATGTCACCACACTAAAACTGAAACACGAGAATATAAGAAAATTTGTGGCACTTAGAACATATCTTGAACTTACAAGAATTTTAACCAAAAAATTGGCAACATGAAATAACAAATACATTTACGCGCGATGATAACAATGCAATTACCCGGCCGGTCGCACACGGAGGCTTATCACTAGGCCTCGGAAGTTAATGACCTTAAAAACATTAAAAAATTACATGCAAAGATGCAAATATGACATAAAAATGACAAAAAATGTCCTTAACATATGAAACAAAAAAATGACCAATATTTGTTTTATAAATTTATCAAAGCTTACAAATTACTCAAAAATTAAAATCATTGCATTGTATGATTAGATCATATTTGATGTTATCATAAGTAAATAAATGACGATTATGTGTTTATAAATATTTATAATTGGAAAAATTTCTCTCCACGTCTACTGAAGCGATTGTGAGACGCAGACGAGCACTAACCGACGTTTTAATTTTCACCATTTCGAAAATAATAAAATTTGGATATAAAAGGTATTATTCACTATAACATGACAATGAAGCGACGAGATAATATCGGATTCTTATCGAATATTAGGAAAAAATAATAAAATTTAGGTATAATACTATTCACTACAACACGACAACAATGAATGTAATCGACGAGATAAATCAGACAAGTCTTAAGTTATTAGCATAATGGCCGATAAGAAACAATAAAAAATGAACTAGTGTGAAATCAGTAAAAATGACTAAAAATGTGGAAAAAATTACCTAAAAATGTCAAAAAATAACTAGAAAAGTAACAAACACCCAAAAATGCAAAAAAAATGCAAAATAAAAATAAAAAGTTCGAAAAAAAATGCCAAATTCATCAACTTCCGAGCCCTATTTATCACTATCGACAAGCAGATAATGCACTGCTACGCATCGCATGAAAATAATAACACACATTTAACGAAAATACAAAATACATCGAACAATGACTTGCTGCGTAAACACCACGAATTATTCGATGCTTAAGATGAGATTTGATAATTAGATAGTATGATGCTGGAAGGAACATAAAATATATAATTAAAACATAAGATAAAATTTCCATGAAGTGTTGTCAGTGCTTGTTTGTAATATCACGAATTTCCAATAATTTCATTATCGTTTGCGATATCTTTAGGCCGTGTTCTCACTGTTGCGTGCAGTCAATTAAATAGTTCATATGAGGATATTTGTTAGGATAATTTCAATAAAAGTACTCAAATTAAGTTAAGCTGTTTATTGAAATATTAAGTACTAGTATTTAATTAAGTTGACAGTTAAACTAGCGTGAAGGTGTTTGTTAAGATCGGAATATAACACATCTGAATATTGGTCTGTTAGCAACCACCTTATATACTCAGGTCTTATGGGAATCAATCGTGCAACATTATGTAAAAGTTGTTCCTGATTATTATAAATATAAGATTTATTACTTTAGTAACCTTGCTGATATTACCTTTCGCACATCTCCCATATTTTTTCGAGCTTCTTTTTAATTGC